TGCTATTTGCGGTCAACCATCCCACCGAACAACCTTGAGGAAATAATACCATTCCCCCCCTCATTTTTGCCCTGTAGACAGCAAGGCGGAGTATCGTCCCTTGCTGGAATTGCATTGTCTAGACAGAGAACTCACGCCAAAGCCTGAAAAAGGATGGTCACCTCAGTCCGATTAACCTTGAGGGTTGAAGGTCAAACCCGCAACAGCGAAAGAGATTTTCATTGGAGGGAAAATTGACCCCTCAGTTGAATCACCCAATTGAACCATCAGCTAATCGTCATCGAACTCGAATAAATAGCCTGAACAAGCAAGATTCTGCCTTTTATGATCTGATCACCTGACGGTGAATGCTGGAAGGATCTGCACTCAGAACTTCGTCAGCATGATACATAACTGCATCCTAGGATATTAGCAAGTATATGACTTTAAGATCTGATCACTTGATTGTGGACGCTTGAAGTGACTAGACTTAGCACTTCACTGGCGTGATACTTAACTTCAACTGCTACCTAGAGTACTAGTAAGTACGCAACCATGATTTTGGTATTGCACTTGTATTGTTCATTCGCTATGTCGCAAATATTCGATCGTGGTTGATCCTATTCCAATAATGCCTATATTCACTTTATATTGATATTATGGATTATATTATTGTTTTTGCTGTGGGTTCGACATGCCGCCATCCCATCATGGGGATGGTAGGTTGTTGTTCCAACCCGCCCATGTCTCTTTTAACAAGATGACAATACGGACACTATGTACCTGTAGATATAATGATTGTTATTGATACCATGTCCCATATTTCATTAATTAAAATGTTTGAGTGGTCTAACATTGTCGCGATGCAACATATGCTCCCGCCGACAATGACAAGACTTATAATCACATCCACCATTTGGATATATATGCACGAGCTATGTCACCTTCCATACATCGATCTGAATTCGTTGCTGTTGGAACGGGACTTATCAGCTTATGGATATTCGCCTGGATACTTATCCAATTTTGTATCATTTTGCCTTTAGCCTGGTTTCTACTACTGGACCGACTTACCTCGAGCTGGAACTAGGGGATTGATCTACATCCTACACCAAACTACCTGACAGCTAGGACTTCGAGATCCAGGGACTCTCACCACCACGATTTATCGCGGGAGAGTCATTTTCCCCTCGCAGACCTTCCAAGGATTCTACGACCGGGAACTCCGACTTCGCTACGCTCAGAACAGCACCGAAGGCCGGAACAGGGACACTGCTTCTTGAACAGAAGGATTCCCTCACTGTGTGATCCACCGAGACCATCACAGAATCTATAAAGGCTAAGTTTACCAAGAACGAGCATAGAACTTGAGCAATATAGCAGTAGTAATGATGATACCGTCTGTATGTTAGGGACACTTGCTTTGTGTTAATATACCTTTCTAATTGGATGAAATCCGTTTGATGTATATACATTGAGCACCACGAGTGTTTCACGTAGGAAGTTGTAAATATTATTGTGTAATAAATATTTGTAGTTAATTTCACCTTTAACTAGGACTTCGTTTCAGTCTATACTATATGTATATAGATAGGTGTTATGTCCGTGTGGTTATTCGGCTTAAATAACATATCCCTAGACAGAGTGCCAAGAGGAGATCTCATACGAGAGACCCTCCTCTCTAATAAGTCATAAGTCAGATCACAACAGTAAGTCAGCGAAGACCCCGGGACATTTTTAGGTTGTTTGCAAATAAGAATTTTGTCGTCCTCTGGAAAATTATGGGAAGAGTACAGAAACAATTATTTTTTTATAGTTTAAAAACGTTTGCCAACTTGGCGCCTGTGTGATGATCACGCATCGTACCCGCCTTGAGCCGGCCCTGGTCACAACTCTGAACCTTAAAAAGCTGTGTGTATAGTGAAAGTGTTCAATTATTTAATTTTGAAAGGGAGGTTATTTTTGTCTTCAAAAATGTGCTTACGACGCTATACAAAGCTATTCCCCTCGCAGGAAGAAACTTTTGATCAATCTGGGGAATGCTTTATCCCGACTAGGACCGAGACACAAGTTTTCAAAATTTAATTCAAAAGATTGGTAACGACGAAAACAAACGGTTTCATTTATAATATAAATTCTATGTTAATATTACAGGCAAATTTTAAAAATAATATATTTTTATAAAATATTTAAGATGAAAAAAACGCAAACTAATTTATAAGTCTGACAATGGTCCTTCGTGTTACGAGAAACTTGTCCACCAGTGCCTGGTGTTATGAGAAACTTATCCACCAGTACCTGGTGTTATGAGAAACTTGTCCACCAGTCCCTGGTGTTATGAGAAACTTGGCAAACAGTATCTGGTGTTATGCGAAACTTGTCCACCAGTCCCTGGTGTCATGAGAAACTTGCCTACCGGTCCGCCAAACTTTTAAGTCTTGAAAAAAAAAAAACTGCTGCTCTAAAGAACGCTTAAGGTAATAAAAGTTTTCAGCAGACGCCGGACGCTGGCTACTCACCCAAGGATCCCGTGGCTTGTTGGATTTCAGCGACGCGACGGCCCCCTTTTTAAGTGGAAGGTGTGCAACGGCCACGTGATTGGCTCTGTATTACATTTCTGTGCATCCCCCACCATCACCCCAAACACCGACAGTAACAGCTTGGTGGAATTAAATTGTAACAAATTGTTGTAAAAAATAAAAAAAGTAAGGTTTTAGAAAAAAACAAACAACTGTAGCGTATGTTTTGAATAATCGTTAGGACCAGGGCCGTGGTGTCCAAATCAGCGGCGTCACTAAGGGGGTCGGGGACCGCACCAGGTGACATCCTTACCCAAAAAAATCGGGGCAGGGGGGGATGACACCCAGAGATGCCAACTCAAAAAAAAAAAAAAATTCAGTGACAAATATCCTAAATCTACGCAATTATTATGACAAAACAAATGAGTCAATTAGAAGTCTCCACTGGATTGGAATGTAGCCAACTCACAACCTCATTTCAGCAAGACCACATCATTATTACAGAAACGTATATTCTTCTACAGTTTATAATATATACATAAATTAATACCATCGTCCATATATATATATTTAATAAACGCATGCATAACTTAAAATCTAGACGGGCTAGAAAGGCTCTGATGTAATATTTAGGATCAACAGCTTAAACTCCATGTAACACACATGCTTTCCTTTCAGTTGCAAAGTTGCTAGGCGGTCGTTGTTAATGGCTTCTCTCCGGCAGTGCTGACTTGGTGTTTGGAGTGCCACAAGGGTCCATTGTGGGCCCGGATCTATCCACAATGTATACCAGGCCACTGCTCCTCTTGATCGAGAGGCATGCCGTTTAGAGCCAGTCGTTCGCAGACGACACGCAGCTATACAAGCATGCCCATCCCGCTCTTGTCGATTCCGCTGTCTGGAATTTGCGGGAGAGCGTTGGTGATATCATGACATGGACAACACTCGGCAAGTTGAAGCTTAACAATGACAAAATCGAAGCACTCCTTATTCACGATCACAAATCATCCTTTAACCCAGCTCTCCCCACTTCATTTCAAGTAGGTAACTCCGACATACCGTTCACATCCTCCGCTAGGAATCTTGGTTATATTATGTCTAACAACATGTCTCTTGATAATCATGATAAACGATGATTAAGGTGATTTTAGTCGATT